TCTGCCCCTGGACCCCTGGTAGGCCTTATCCTTTCTCAATTTACAAGGCAATTTACAGTACGGGCACTCAACAGACGTAGGGAAAACACCATGATTATGTAGGAATTGGATAGCATATCGTCTTTCTCATAAAACTCGGCAATAAACTTAAAATAATCGGAGGAGCATGAATCACACCCAACCTCCACCACGGCCATTGTCAGACAAGTGATTGAAATTCAAATCTGTACCCAGGCTGCTCCCCTAGCAAAAATTCAAATGTGATTGGTCGAAAAAAATCACGTCATGAGATCGATACATCATTGCTCACGACTGGATAACGTCAGTCAACATTGCGCATGCGTGATGTAAACATACTCTTAAATAACTCGGTTTCATACAGATAACATCTCTTCACAGACACGAAGACTGAAAAGTACGTAAAACTTATTAAATTCAATTGTGTCTCTATTTTCCATTTCTGAATGGAAAAAATGGGTTTCAAAATGCTCAGAGTAGGGAGATCTAAATATTTCAGTAGTTTATAACTTAATACATACTCTTGTGGTGTATTTATTATCACTTAATAAGTAATATTGTAGTGTACAGTATAATGCATCTGCATATACCCTGGCTTATTAATTAATCATTTGTCTAAGTGCACAAGTAGCCAAACTGAACCATCATGTATCACAAAAAGGTTATAAATAATATTGTTAGGAAGGTATATTCATATCAAATACTATACTGTGTGTTATAGTGACCCTGTTGTAAGCTGGTCTGCTGAAAGATCTCACACGAACGCATCCTGAGTGAATAATTTCCGATACAGCTTATACTTTTATTTTCAAGTCATATTACAAATTACTTATTGTATTTTCTCTATTATTGAAGATGTTATATTAATCATGATGAACCATATACGATAAAAGACTGATCATATGAGAATATAATACTGAATCAATAAGTAAAAAAAACTGACGAATGCAACAACACCCGATCAGCCCCAGCCTGCTTACATACTCAGTGTTCTAGTTCTCGGCAAGCCTATAGCAAAGCTGATTAGACCACTGTACAGTATTCAGTGAGTAAATGTTGTTCATTTCATAATTTTTTTAACCTTACCCATTTCTTAAAATAAGTACAGTACAGTCGGCCCTTAACATACGCGGGGGTTACGTAACAGAGATACCCGTGGATGTTAAAAATCCGCGTATATGTGCTGCCCCCCCCCCCCCAAAAAAAACCTGGTCCCCCCATGTCCTTATTTACCGTATATACCTGTGTGTAGTTCAAGTTTTTAAGACCAAATTATTTGGCAAAAAATTGGGGGTCGACCTCTAAACGGGTAATAGTTTCGTTAGGTTGAAAAATATTTACCAGTAACTACCAGTAAACAATGGAAACGATGCACCAACGCACCACCAGCTGTGAGTGTCGGTACAGTTGCCAGGGCACATCTCTTGCGTCATCATTGCAAGCCCAAAGTAGCCAAATCCATGGTATGGTAGCACAGGACGATGTAAAAACAAAGTATTCATTTATTAAAGTTTATTTATAGATACTGTACATAAATTTTTGTTCATTATATTTGAAACATCAATCTTTGTTAATTAAATTTGAAACAAAAGAAAACTACGATACCGTATTTTCATTAAAATATTCCATCACAAGTATATTTTACCTTAACTGTGACTGAATGAATATAAGTTTTCTCAGAAATAAATATAGAAATATAATATTTTTGCTGGAATGACGTACATATTACAGTGGAAAGACGATAACAATGACTTTCGCATTCTTTCGTTATTCAAAAGATTTTACCGTAATCGCTTTTCGAATGGTTTTCAGTCAAAAAACTGTTGTACTCGTACTGTATTACAATAATATTCTATCCTATCATTAGCCTTATAATCCCACAACTGAAAACCATTCGAAAAGCGATTACGGTAACATCTTTTGAACGAAAGAAAGGGAAAGTCATTGTTTTCGTCACAATTTTATTCCACTTTCCACTGTAATACGTACATCATTTCAGCAAAAATATTACATTTCCATGTTCTCAGAAATAAAGGGTAGTTTTGTTGAAACGTAATGTACAATATTTAATATTAAAATGCAAAAATAGCTATAAAAACAATTAATACACCCGTAATGTACTGGCTGGCATCTCCACTCGTCCCTGCTCCCGCGTCCAAGGTCACCACCACTCCTCCCAACTCCCTCCCTCCGCTCCCTCTTCACCGTTACTACTGCCGACAATGAACACAAATGTTTTGTGAATAACTGCACCTCCACTGGGATTAATTGAAATAGAGACCGGGCCGACCCCTAAACTCCACTTTTTCCCGACACAATACGTACGTTTTAGTAAAAATAACATCTTAACTTTATGATGGTATTCACACACACATAATATAGAAGGGAACAATCAATAAGATAATAATATACTGCAGGTTAGGTCCGAAAAAAACAAGGTTGGGGTTAACACTTACGTTAGTAGAAGAGATGGGTCGGCGTACGGGAATGGAGGCTGGTTCTGAGGCAGAGGGCAGGCTACTGGCCCTTAGGTGAGTCTTCATCACTGTCATCCACACTTATTAGTGCCTCCCTGAAAAATCCCTCAAAGTCACCATCGCTGTCTCTGTCAATATCACTGGCTTGGGCTGGCTGTGGTGGGTTGCGGGTGAAGAACTCGGTAATGCTTTGCTGACGACTGGTGTTGATGTTGTCGTGATACACCTTGATGTAGGGCTCCATAGTCTGTAACAGCTGGGTAGTGAAGACTTCATACTGGTTATCGTCAGGGTCGTCGGAAAGGAGGAACTTGAGTTTCTCGACACACTCAATGGCACCCCTAACATTACTATGGGGTAAGCGGCGTTCTTCTTGGGATGATGCACCACCTGCCTCTTCACTGACGTCATCATCATCTAGCATCTCATCGGCAGTCACATCAGGATCCTTTATCACCTCCAGGATGTCGTCGTTGGTGGTCTCGGAGAAGCCTGCAGCTGTAACACTCTGCGCAGCTTCTCTGGCAAGGTTCACTGCTACTGCGACAGTCTGAACCTCACCAGTCACAGATTGATTCTGCCTCCCACCTGGAATACCTTGCAACACATGTCTCCATGCGTGATGAACCGTTGCTACAGACAACTGATCCCATGCCTCCACCAAGAAGTCAACAGCTTTCTTGATGTTGAATTTTCTCCAAAAATGTTTCACAAGTACTTCTTGCTCTGCCAACTGTTGATCCTCGTCGTCTTCGCTCTTGTTATTGGTGTCACCCAGGTTACGCAACTCATCTTTGGTGTTGGTGTAGTCGTTCAGGAGCTTAAATTTCTTTGCAGAGAATGCAGCTTTCACATTACAGATCAATTCTAGGTCCATGGTCTGTATTAATGACGTAGTTTTGGGAGGAAGGAAGACCAGTTTTACGTTGGGGTGACGATCTAACAGTAGGGGGCGAGTGTCCTGGTGAGTTGTCAAGCAGCAACAAAATCTTGAATGGCACAATCTGTTGCTGACAGAATTTCTTCACATTGGGAACGAAACAGTCATCAAACCAGGAGAGGGTCAGAGTAGAGAACATCCACGCCTTACGTGAGGTCAGCCAGTGGACATTTAGCTTGGTCATGTCCATGCTCTTGTAGGCATGCGGCTTGCATGCTGTGTGGATCACCGATAACTTGAGCTTACGGGTACCGGAGGCATTGGTGGTAAACAGGACGGTGATGCGCTCCTTCTGCAACTTCCGACCCCGACACCTGCTGGCATTCTTCACAACGAAGGTCTTGGAAGGTAGCTTTTTCCAAAAAAGACCAGATTCGTCCATGTTAAACACCTGGTCGTCGGCGTACTGTCCTTCCTCCATAATCTCACGTAAAAACGGAGGAAAATCCCTAGCCGCAACACGGTCAGCACTAGCTTCTTCACCACCAATGTTAATGTTGGTGATCTTGTTCCTCTTCTTAAATCTCTGCAACCACCCAGAAGAAGCATTGAAGGGTTTGGGCTCTACAATTCCCATCTTACGTGAAACTGCAGTATACAGTTCACGTGCGTACTCCTTAACTGAGCGAGTGTCACCCGCCATGTTCCGTCACGCCTGACAATCAAGTAGCTCACATGTAATTTCTCCGTCTTGAGAAGCACCTGGCTGTGGCAATACTTGATCATAGAAGCACTTGTAGACTTTGTGATGTTCATGTGCTCCTTTATCTTGGCTGCATCCTTCTTAATTGTCTGGATCGTAGATTCGTTAACACCATGCTGGCGCGCGAGATCAACCTGTCTTGTTCCTTTCTCCAACTCTTGGATGATCTTGTGTTTAATTTCGTAGCTTAGGGAACGTTGTATCTTCTTTGGCTTCGGGCAGCTGGGTCCAGGTAATGCAAGGTTTCTTTGTGGTGGTGGTCCAGTGGAAGCCATTCTTATGGAACAATGGATACCGATATACACGGTGTAGCCGGGAGGGGTGTAACTGACGCGGGTAGGTCAAGGGGCTTGAACGCTCCGGCGGCGGGGCACGTCATAGTACATTAAACCAATCACAGCTAGCGGGGGAGGGAGGTAAGGATGCTTGGCCCAATCACAGCTAGCGGGGGAGGGAGGTAAGGATGCTTGGCCCAATCACAGCTAGCGGGGGAGGGAGGTAAGGATGCCTGGCCCAATCACAGTCCGATACGTCATATGACGTCACCGATAACGCAACATAGACATATACTGCACAACCTACTCGCGCCGCTTACCCAACATGGTGGGAAGGCGGGAGAGATGGCGGGAGGGTTGAATCCAAAAATGGCGCGGTGCGAGAGGATCACCAGCCGCTCTCCGCGTAAAAGAGTACACGCACCGCGTAAAGCGAGCATTCCGTGTTTGGCAGGGTACCGCGTAAGCGTGGAAATGCGTAAAAAAAAACGCGTAAAGCGGGGTAATACTGTACTGTAGTGAGGTATACCTTTATAAAAAATGGTGATACACATTTTCATTAAAGAAAAGTAATCACAACAACTCACTTGTGCCTGATGAGTCTGGAAATAACATCCCTAGCATGAATAGTTGCCATAAGAAGAGGAAGGCAGCGTGCAGTAGGAACTGGTGTCACTGAGGTACGTCTTGTGGTACGACAGGAAGGACCTGAAGCTGTTCGCACTGAACTCAGAGGTAAAATTGGCTCCTGTAAAATAAGTATTCTTAGTAGATTACCATCCATTATTTTGTTGAGTTGTATTCATCTCATGACACCTCATACTCTTACATAATGCTTCTAAACCTGTACCTTATGACATCCATCTCAAACAAAATCTCTCCCCGAACTTCTAATGTATGACTTATTTATCACATGCCGTACTGTACTGTACAAGCACAAATATCAGAGCAAAATTAGGTCTCATATGTTGTAAATGGAATACGTACAATCCAATGTTAACCCCATTACTACAGGAACACCACTTTTAATATATTATTTAGCTAATGCCAGACAATTATATTTAGTTCAGAAAGGAGCCTGTACACAAAGGATAAAACTCATTTGGTTCACTTTAGCAAAATTAATTACAGTAGGGTTGCAGAATACACGTATCCAGAGCACACAACCCCGCTTATATGCATCTGGCTCCTTAAACCACCCAATGGGACTTGGGGGCAATAAATAATAAATAAATATATATTATTCCGGCTAACAGGATATATATATGCAGTGGTCCCTCGATTAACGAACACAATTGGTTCCACAGAATCGTTCGTTAACCGAAAATTTCATTAACCAAATCAATTATTTCAATGGGATATTGGGTAATTGATTCCAACTAACAGAAAAAAATATACATACAAAGTACAATATACTGGTAATAGAATTAACAAAACATTAAATATAAACTAAATTCAGTACTGTACTGTACTGTACAGTATACTATACAATAATAAATAAAAAACAATAGAATACTGTATTTTAACTTACTTTGAGGTGTGTATGTCGCATTCCCGGCAGTTTTGTTTACATATCAAACGGCTGATTGCAGAAGCAGTCGATGATGACATGCCATATTCTTTACAGAGTGCATTGGTTCTAATGCCTTCTTCATGTTTCATAATAATTTCTGCACTGTATATTATCAATATGTTAACAAAATTTCAGACTGACCAATAATTTTAATGTAAAAATGCAAAAATATTCAAGAGACCAACAAACTGGATGTTCACTCCACTGTAAACAAAGTTAAACTAAGAAGCGTTGTTGGGTGATTCAATCAGCTGATGGGCGCACAAAACTGTTCCCTGTACTGTCTATATTATCAATATGTTAACTAAATTTCATAATGACCAATAATTTGAATATAAAAAAATGCAGAAATATTCAGGAGACCAACTTTCTTGATATTTACTCCACTGGTAATGAAAGTAAACATAGAACTGATTACTGTATTGGCAGATTGGCCGGTCAGCTGATGCGCACAACAAAACGTGTTTATCGTAGGCTTTTGTTAATCGAACTGAAAATCTTTATGGGAGCCAATTCGTTAACCGAAATTTCGTTAATTGAGGGACCACTCGGTGGTCCCTGGGTTAACGAACAAAATTCATTCCACAGAGTCGTTCGTTAACCCACGCCACTCACACTCGTTACAGTGCTGCCACCTGTTGAACCACGCGGTAAGTTCACGAACTTCATTGTCGGACCTCGTGTATACAGGTGAGAGCCCAAATACACTACAGTGGTCCCTCGGTTAACGAGCGCCTCGGTTAACGAGATTTCGGTTAACGATTTACCTTCCATAAGATTCTTAAATTCGGTTAACGAGCAATCCCTCGATTAACGAGTTTTTTACGAGCCGACTTCAACATGTTTTCGCTTGCATTTGGCGGTCCACCAGCTGTAGTATTAGTCCGCCAATACAGTAATCGGTTTAGGGCTTAAATTCCTTACTATTTTAGTAAATATCAAGAAGTTTATACTATTCAATAATTTTAAAAGTTTTTTCTTTACTTTTTTAGTCATTTTAACAATTATTGAACATAATTGAAGGTAAAGAAACTAGTTTCTGGCGTGCCATCCAGCCTGTTGACACACCAGACAGGCGTTAGTCTCTCTCTGTTTTCAGTGGAGGTAACATCTTGCTTGAGACTCTTCAACTAAACACTTTTTTTCTGTGTTTCCAAGCAAATTATTGGTCATTTTGAAATATATTTTATATATTGACAATATATAATGCAGTGCAGTGTTGAATTAAAAAAAATAATCTTGAATTACACCAAGAGAGCTAAAATATTATGGGTGAAATGGCACCATGGGGTGACTTCTCTTCCACCCCAATGCCTTCTCTTCTTCCTTCTCCTCCACCCCCATTCTAATTCCCATCATCATCATCATCATCCAGGAGCCTTCTACATACACACCTCAAAGTAAGTGTACTTTTCTACCTTTTTTGTTGAATTTAGGCAATTTTCGGTGAGCTGGAACCAATTACCCAAAAACCCATTAAAACAATGGTTTCGGTTAACGAGTTTTTCGGTTAGCGAGCAACCTGCTGGAACGGATTGTGCCCGTTAACCGAGGGACCACTGTACAGGTATATCTAAAATTGCACTAACGCAGTGATCCCAGGAATGTAACCCTCATATACTGTACTCTGCAACCCTACTATACATACACAAAATCAATGTTAATGAGGCTATTATTGGTAAGGATGTGATCTTACCATCATTGCTGATCTTCATAAATTTGCATTATATAAACTTATCATCTCTCTTTATGATTCAACTTTTCAAAAAATTTATTTTTCATGTGTGTACAGTACTTATTAGTTAAATCCTGTAGTAATTAAGTCTTACCTCTTGATATTCCCCATTAACTTCTTCTGCCTTTTGCTGTTGTCCACGGCCCATGACTGTCAGCAGAAAGGCAATGTCCTCATTCACACTAAATAGCTTTTGTCGTAAGACCTGTCGAGCTCCCTATTCAGAAATGATAATTCAAAAAATAATATTAATAAATAGTGAATGTGTAAGACTCTGTATTAAAGAGAGAGAGAGAGTAGGGTAAATGAAAGAACATGCAAGTGGCTTCTGACTCAATTTGAGCTAAGATTAAAATGGGATATCTGCAGGGATATTTATCATCCTTATAGATGAAGCAATTAGAGGGGTATTGGCTGGTAGTACACTATTCACAGAATTAGGGATACAAAAATTTAAAGGTTAGGAATATATTTGAATGAAGACACTACTCCTGAATACAGTATATAATTTTTTCAAGAAGTTGTGTAAACGTAATATGAACAAGGTGGTACAGCAGGTTATGAAATATACTGCAAACCCCTGATATAATGGACTAATTTGGGGGAAGGCTGGTCCATTGAAGCCATCACCATCACCAATAACACTTGCCATTATCACCAACACTCACCATCAATAATAATAATAATGGTGGTGGTGTACCGGTGGTGGCAGTGGTGGTGGAAGTGGTGGTGGTCACCACCAACAACAATCACTATCACCACCATGCACCATCACCAACTGATGTTTACAGGACGAGAACACGTTCAAACTGCAGTGACAGAATGGCAGCCTGCAGGCTAACAGAATAGCTAAAGTCACTCTACATGTTAATAACACATACAGCACTTGTTGGTTGTAAGTTGTGCATAATAATGACCGCTGCACTGTCAAGCGCAAGTGAACAGCTCACTTGAATGAATTATGTATCTTCATAAAAAAAATTCTAGGAAACAAAAACTTGGGTCACAAATATTCACTGTAATGTGCAGAAATCAGTCATAAAGAGCCAGCATGTCAAGTAAGTTGAATGCTACCGGGAAATTTTTTTCACAAAGAGGAGAGCACTGATTGGCTGCAAGCATGCATGGCTACAATGTTCTCATTGGCGGAGAGACTGTAAACAAGTGTGAATGCTGTCGGTGAGTACTGAGTGTTTTGTCTTGTTACTTCTGCCTTGTATTATGGATCTTCATCATTTTCTTTTTCTATTAAAAAATACTCCAGGAGAGTACCAAAGAGCTCTATAAAGAATCAGCATTATGCAAGATAGGGCTAAATAGAGAATTACTGTTATTATTATTTGTGATAATTTGGATACGAATGGTCTGTTATTTTTTACTTTAAGGGACCCGAGTCCATAATACATATGACCCTAGTCTGAACGAGTCAAAATGTCCATTATAGATAGTGTCTATTATATCGAGGATTTACTGTACATACAATATGATGGCAGGGCCCAAATGGTTAAAGCTATTAAATATTCTAAATCATTCTTTAATAAAATGACTGGATGTTTTGAATACTATTTTTTCTCTAATACCAAGAGTTATTTCACAATTTGCACAATATGAACTTTCATCTGATGGTGGGTGAAGGTACAGTAGCATTCATGAACAAGAAGGTTAAGGTGCATTTCCAGCAGTGTTGTGTGTATCTGTATCAGGTTGGTCATATGTGAATACCACACTATTGGAAGACATTAATGTGTACTAACTTTTGGACAAGTGTGGAAAGCAAGATCAATACCAGCTGCCCACCACACTCGCCATGCCACAGTCACTGCTGCAACTGGAACATCCTGCAGTAGCGACCGTCTACAGGGAGAATAAAGAACAGGTCAGTATTCAGCATAACCAATACTACTTATCACATTATCTTATCTTAAATATAAATAAACCTGTTAGCTATTATGAAACAAAAGTAGTACTGTAATTACATTTTAAGCCTCTGATGCAGACTGATCAGTTAACTCATGCATTCCAATAGATAAAACAACTTTCCAACAGTCTGACACAGAGTCATAGTCTCATAGAAATTACTGCATATCTTGTTACCCACTACACTAGGTACCAGTAGCACATATAAACATACTGTACATCTAAAGGAAATTAATATTAATATCAATGTCCTAATTCATTAAATAAAAAAATATATTATAAAATCTTACCGAATTTTTTCCTCACTTCCTAACTCTTCAATCGCCTTCTCCACAGCTGTCTTCATGGCCGAGTGTGTTGCACCTAGAAGCTGCTGCATGGCCAGCCCAACGCCATCACTAACACCAAGACCCATGCTGTTTTTTCCTAGACTGACAGGAGTAGAAAGGTGCAGCTGCTCTCCCTCTATACTCACGAGACCAGTGACTCCCTCATTGGATGATTTTACTGATGATATATTGTTGAAAATCTGATGAATACAAAGATAAATAACAGAGTGGCAGATTAGAACTAAAATGTCGTAGCTGAAAGTTCATAAGAGCCCTGTCCCCAATAGTGTGCAACTCTGTGGTAAGAGAGTTGTGTAATGATCTCAAATTATTTGTTCTGTATCTTGTTCCTTGGTGCAATCTCCTGCTAAAAGACAAGTTCACTCACATTACACCTCACTCTAAAATTTCTCTGGCATGCAATTAATACTACAAGTACGGTACAGTGCCTTATTTTAGTTCTGGTTTCATCATTGTATCCTCAGTCCAATCTACGCAAGAAAGTTCTACTTCTTGAAAACTTATTTGGAAATTCCTGTTAGTACTTTGCCAATCTTCCTTTATACGAGTACAGTGCATAATTGTAGTACAGGTATAACCAAATTCCCGTGGCAAACAGTAGCTGATGCTTAATTAATCTATCAGGTAAATCTCTAAAGCTTATGTCTCACTCATTTTTCTTCCACTATCCTACTTCTTTGGCAATGCACTAACATTATAGAACCCCTTAAAAGCTCATCTCACAATTTATCATCCTCACCAAAAAAGTATAAATAAAGTAGCTTCAAGTCATAGCATGACCCTTATTATAAACTTTTTATTTCATGGCTGCCTATATTATTGTATTACCATCATCTTATTAGTGAATTTTCCTATAAGTGAATCCCTCGTCATCTAGACTAATCTGGGGGGAATGGGGGGTCCAGGTCAGCTGAAACTCCAGACTTTCCAGTATAAATGAACAGAAAAGACCCCTCCATCAAACACACTGGTTGCCACAATACCATAAAATGAAATACTCTAATATTGTTCAAAATCTCAAAACCAGCAACACTTAAGACTTTGGGGTTGCTTTCTAGTTTATACAATTTTCAAGCCATATTGTACTCTTGTGTGTTAATGTGTGCCAGACACTATGGCTCATGACTGTACATTTGTCAGTTATTGTCATATGATGATCCAAGGACAAATGCCGGGTATGGTCATATGACAACGAGGCATCTTTCAAATGTCCCAGGTAAAAATTTTCACATTTAGCCTGCAAGTTATCTCCTCAGCAACTCCTCGAGCCAACTAGATAAGCAAATCACTGTATGCCTCAGTGTGATCCAAAAGAGTCATGGATAAAGGAGATACAACTTCTGCTCCTGCCTCTCTCCTTGTGGAAGCCAGTAGGGAGCATAGCAGAGTGAGCAAAGCAGTGTCACCACTGTCGGCAAGACCCCGGGCCATCACAGGAAAAAAGACATAGAAGAAAGAAAAGCCTTTCTACTGATTGATTACAAATTGAGAAGGATGGAAGAATTAGAAATTGCAAGTGGTGACAGTGACAGTGAGTGGGAACCAGGGGATGAAGATACAAGTAATTTCTTGTTGGAGGAGGATGAACCCTGGCAATGCCACTCTATACCAGACGACACACCAACACGAACAACACTATCCAGGAAAGTGACTCTGATTCACCACCCGCTACTACTATACCCCCAGGACAGTAAAAATTTTGCCTTAGTTTGGAGTGATGAAGGAGATTTTGTGCCAAACATTCCCGACTTTGATTCATCAACACCAGGCCTGTGTCAGAATTATCGGCTTCCAGAAGACAGTGAATACAGTAAGTCCTCGCTTAACGTTGTGGTTCCGTTCCTGAAAACCGCGAAGTGAACGGAATTAATTTTCCCCATAAGAAATAAATAAAATACGGGAGTTACATTCCCCAACCTCCCTTTGCTCCATAAAATACATTACATATACAGTATAGTCTGCATTTACGCGGTCAACTGAACCCGTGGAGGCCAGCGTAAAATGAGAAATGCGTAAATGAAATAACAGAACATATGGGATTAATTGAAATAGAGACTGGGCCGACCCCCAAACTCTACTTTTTCCGACAAAATACGTACGTTGTAGTCAAAATAACATCTTAATTTTATGATGGTATGCACACACAATTAATAATTAAGAGAAATATCAATAATATTAGGTTTTTTAACACTGAAGTTAGTAGAAAAGCTGGATCGGCACACGTGGATGGCGGCTGGTTCCGAGGCAGAGGGCAGATTAGTTACCCTCCAGTGAATCACTTTCACTACTCGCAGAGGTTTGCAGGGCCTCCCAGACAAACCCCTCAAAGTCCATATCCTCACTCTCAATATCACTATCACTGACTTGGGCTGGCTGTGGTTGTGGTGGGTTGCGGGCGAGGAAGTCCTCAATACTACATTGACGACTAGCATTGACGTTGTCGAGATAGATTTGGATATACGGCTTCATAACTTTCGTCAGATGGTTATTAGACACTTCATACCGATGCTTGTCTGGGTCGTTGTCAAGGATGAGCTTAATTTTCTCCCCCAACTCGGTGATTTCCTTCACATTATCATGGCTTGGTCTAGGTAATTCAAGGTTTTTCTCGGGTGGTGGGGGTCCCGCTAAAGCCATTGTGAGGGGAATAGCGGGCACAAGAGAGAACTGTATACGTGGACTGAGAACAATGAGACAGGTCCGGCTAGGTCAGCGACTTCTACCCTCTGGTGGCAGGGCACGTCATGTAACATTAGACCAATCACAGCTAGCGGCGGAGGGAATGCGTGGGTGGTAAGGAAGCGTGGCCCAATCACAGTCCAATACGTCATATGACATCAGCGATAACGTAAGAGTGGCCTAATGCGCACCACTCACCGCGCCGCTTCCCGCATATGGTCAAGAATGGACCGCGTGGGTAAAAAATGGAGTGGCGGTCTGGACCTCTCCAGCCGCTCGCCGCGTAAATGACCAAATTTACCACATAATTAAAGCATTTTCATTCTGGCAAGGCACCGCGTAAATGACCAAACGCGTAAACAAAAACCGCGTAAATCCAGACTATACTGTACATAAATTCGATGGAATTTTTTAAGAAAATAGTATATACAGGTATTATACATCCAAAAAGATAAATAAACTAAATAATTTTGTATTGTCCTCACTGATGGACGGAGGTGGTGGAGCGAGTGTGTGGTGGGTAGTGTAGAGGAGGAGGGTGGCTAGTCACTGAGACCCGGAAGGTGGCTCCTCCTCCCGCTCTGACTGGGTGAGAGAAGATGATGCACCGTACAAAGTAGTCCATGATGCCGTTATACCTAATCGGCGGGACGTTGGCCAAATCATGGGCATCTAAAGATTAGCGACGTTATAACTAAACAACATTGTCGGGTGCAACGTTAAATGAGGACTTACTGTTTGTCTATTATTTTTTACAGTTCATGGCCATATATATAGTAAATATGATTGTGAAAGATACAAATGATTTCCATGAATGGTATAACAGTACACATGATGTCACTGTGAGGCCACATGCACAGAAGTGGTACGACACAACACCTCGGGAAATTTATGTCTGGTTAGCATTAGCTTTATTAATGCCACATATAAAGAAACTTGATATCAGAGAATATTAGAAACTTGATACCCTCATTGGTGCACCAGCCTTCAGTTTGTACATGGCACTTGATAGATTTCTGAACATTATGAGGTTTTTACACTTCTTCAGCAACCAACTACCTGGGCCAAATGATCACTTATATAAATTACGTGTAATTTCTTATATGTTCAAGGACAGATTTGCAAAGGCTTTAAACCCATTTCACAAACGTGCTATTGATGAGAACTTGGTTTTGTTTCATGGCAGATTGAGTTTTCGTCAATACATACCATCAAAATGCCACAGATTCGGAATCGAACTTTTTGTTCTCTGTGATTGTGAAACTGAAATAATTTTGGATATGATTTGTTATAGAGCAAGTGATGTGGACATAACAACTAAAGTTCCTCATAGTTTTACTGATGCAATGGTTTAAAAAAACTCATGTAAATGTACATAGGAAGAGGACACATTCTGTACACAGATAGTTACTATATAAGCCCCCATTTGTGCAAATATCTACTTGAAAATTTCACAGGTTCTGTTGGTACAGTAAGAGCAAACAAGAAGAATATTCCAAAGTTCACAGGGAGAATGGTGAGTGGTGAAATTCAGATGCAAAAGTCAGAGAAGATTTTGGCTGTGGAGTACCATAATAAACATGATGTTCATTTCTTAACAACTTTTTACAAAGGAAGAAAAAAGACACAGGCAAGGTTGAATTTCGCATTGCAGAACCAATTGAAAAACCAGATGTGGCAATTGATTACACTGCGAATATGAGGTTGACTGATAAATCTGATATGATGATTGGTTCCATAGACTTTCTCAAAAATACCTGAAGTGGCACACAAAATTGTTTTCCAGCTAGTTGACAAGAGTTTTTACAAAGCTACTGCATGTTCTGTGTAAACCCAGGCAAAAAAGTATCATTCCGTGTGTTTTGCCTCGGTATTGTTGAACAATTATTAGAAAGATATGGTACAATGCAGTTACAGCAGCTAGGTCGACGAGTACAAGCTACTTGTGGTCAAGGTCAGGTTGGCGCATCAGCATGGATCACACATAACTACCTCACCCCTGTACCACCTAGGCAAACAAGGAGGGTAGGTCAATGTAGGAGTGAGGTGTGTGCTCATACAACATGGCGGCCAGCCAGGCAGAAGTATGTACCAACCTGGTGCCAAGAATACCAAGTAGCATTGTGTGTTGGTGAATGCTACCATGATTATTACAGTTTACTTCTTTAGAAAAGCTCATGTTATTCATAAGGAAATTAAGTTTGTGAGTTAAGAATATGGATTAGGCCTACTGGGGAAATAACGATAAAAAAATTCAGTTTGTGATTTACCTCTCATGTGCTGTGGAAAATTTCACTCTCTGTACATGCCATCTATATCTCTGATGCCTGTGTGTTTGATGTCTGTGTTGTATATGTCTATATGTATCTATGTCTGATGTGTGTAGTTTTGTGTGTGTATGTATTTGCATGTGTCTGTGTTTTTGTGTGAATGTGTGAATCAGTGCATGCAATTGTGTCTGTGTGATGTGTGGTTGATAAACACATGTTTCAACTCATTACCTGGAATTTTTAGTTGCAAAATGTGCTTCTGAATGTTACAGAGAATATCATAGTATGAATAGAGAATATTTGGGTTATTTTAAATATAAATAAAAAAAATATTTGTTCCTAAACTTCCTCCACTTTAATCATCTTTTACTTTTACCTTTATCCTCTTTGCCACTGATCGGCTTGTTAGCCGCTTGGGCATGTCTCTGTTACACACTGTTGGTAAGTATTGGGCATGCACTGGCTCCTAAATGTATCTAAACCTGCTCCAGTGCTGGTCAAGTCTGGTCTTGAAAGAGCTCACACTCGGTGCCATCACAACACTCTCTGGCAGATTGTTCCAAGAGTTCACAACTCTCACTCCGAAAAAGTTACCCCTCACAATTTTCTGGACTTGTGGCTTCTTGAACCTTGAGCAGTGACCCCTTGTGGGCTGGGTATCCGCCAGCTCCAGATATGGACACTTGACTGCGTAGTGCCCTTGGAGATGTTTATATACCTCAATTAGGTCCCCCCTTCCTCTTGCCCATCTGTAGTACAAGCTAGGCAGTTGCAGGTGCACTAATCTCTCTGGATAACTGAGGTGCCAAAGTGCATGCACCAGACTGGTGGGCCTCTTTTGGACATTTTCAATCAACTGACAGTCCCTAGCACCTCACTCGTGAAGGTCAGTATGGGCGACGAATTGTCTAGATATCTAAACGACCTTCTTATAAGAGCTAATAATCGAGTTGTGTTACGGTCATCTCCCCTGTCCCTCGATATTTGTTTCAGTTACCCATTGTTTACATCCAGTGTGTGCGCATGTTTCTCGCCCCAGCAGTTGGATTTAACTTTTACAAACATACAGTAAGTACAGTACAGTGCATTACCCTTATTCAAGATGACTGGAAAGCGGCCATCAAGTGGAAGCGACCGCAGTAGTGCAAAAAGAAGCCGCAAAGGCATTACATTGGATATTAAACGAGACGTTTTAAGAAGGTATATCATAAATTATTTAATGTACTGTATTGTTTGTGTTTATAAATGTTTATTTTCATTCATAAAAGTGCTTGAATTACTTTTTGGGGCCAAAAAAAATTCCTTAGGTTTCGCGTTACGGAATTTTGCGATAAGGTCAATTATCCAGGGACGCAACCCTTCCGTAACGCAGGGAATGCCTATGTATACTTGTATTTGTTTCATTATGTAAACTTTGTAGAATGTATTTTTATTTTGTATACAGTTATGAAAGACTGTAAGAAACAGGTGTGAAGTATAAAAAGAATTAGAAATTATATGTCGATGAAACAAGAAAGTATTGGAACATTGTTTTGGTTTTGGCGGCGCCTCGGTAGCTAGGTTGAGGAGGATAGAAGGGTCAAGCTTGTGTGGTGCATATTTATCTATTATTATCTGGATAATTATGGTGTAAACTAAAGTGTAATATGTTCATATAGTCTAAAGAGTATTGTATTAGTGAGAGTATTGTATTAGTGTATGTACATGGATGGAGAGCACATATTTATTATATTTTGTTGTAATTTAAAAGCTGTGTTTTGATTAAACCAGTTTTAATGGGAACAGTGGTCTTGAAACAAACACCTGTCAGGAGGTTGTTCGCCAGAAATAAGGTAAGGGTCTGTGTTTAACATTTAACCTCTGTTAACAGAAGCCGTTAATTTAGAGTCTCCTCTGATATATTGGGCCTATGGGCTGACTATGCATCCTCTAGTGAGTCCTAGAAGAGGGTGTGAAGGTTGTAACAGTTCCTTGATTCCCCTTCTTCTCACAATGGCCCGAGAACTTCAGTTCATTGTCAACATACACACCTAAGACCTTTTTGCATTCAGTCTCTATTAATGCAGTCTCTTCGTCCCGTTGGGACATATGATACGTCCCAGGTGCATCCTCTTACACTTCGTGACATTGAATCTTAGCAGTCATTTCTTTGACCATTCTTAAAGTTCACAGAGATCTTCACAGTCTGTTTGGTTCTTAATTTCCCTAAAAAACTTGGCATTGTCCACAAGCATTTGTAGGGAAAAATTTACAGCTTCTGGCATGTCATTAATAAAGGAAACAAACAATAGCAGGCCCAATACACTGCCCTGTGGTACCCCGCTTGTCACAGGTACACATGACGATTTCATACCATTAATAATCACAAACTGTTTGCTATCATACAGAAAATCTCCTATCCACGCTAGGACACTTCCCCAAATCCTGTATTCTTCCATTTTAATTCTCAGCCTTTCATGGGATACGCTGTCGAAAGCCTTGGCAAAATCTACTGTCGATATTGCCACCCTGTTACAGAATTTGGGTTCAAACATCCAGTACCTTGAGTGATTGCGTTAACAGGAGCTTCCCGGCAGAAAACCGTGTTGGCAATCCTTCACAAGGTTGTTTCGTAGTAGATGTTCCATCACTGCATGTCTTATAATGCTCTCAAGATAGGACTCACAGAAGCCATTTCCCAAACACTGGGGACCTTTAGCTCATCCAGGCATCTACAGAACAGGACCCTCAGGAGCTGAGCAAGCTCATTGCACAACTCTCTTACCACCCTGGGATGAACAAATTTATTTCTTATAACCTCTTTTGAAAACACAAGTTGGATAAGCGCTGTGTCAAACCGTCTGTCCTCAAACGCAGGAAGATTGTTCGTATCTGGCAGCACTGCAGTTATTCCACTGTATAAAATTCTAAAAATTTAAAAATTTTCAATAAAATATTTCTTTGGTTTTATGACATGGCATATTTCACAATTTTGTTATAAATGAATTACAATAAATACATGTGCCGAATGCCCTTTTTAAACATGTCCCACTATTAAAAATTCCTTTAAAAAGCCCCTGAAAAAATTCCACCACAACTAAATTCCCCTGCTTCCAAAGTGTTTTGAATTTTTGGGACTTGGTGTAGGTGTATATCAATTATTATGCAATTTGTCAAGGTTCATTGATTTAACTAACCTTGTGAATAACAGAGTTTAAAACCTCAGGAGAGGGGTCTGCTAGAAGAGATGTCAGTTCACGGTCTGTCAGAAGATGAAGGCGCGGGCACTGGCGGCGTGGGCGAGCTAAAGATGGTGATACCTTAACAACTAGTGACTGAGCGTAAAGTTTTAATGCAAGAACTTCTTCAATGTAACCTTTGTTCCCAGCCAGCTCCAAGACAAATGCTCGCCTCTCTGTTCTTTCCAACAGCTACCGGGTAAGTAAAACATAAGAAAATATTTAAGTTTTAAATTAAACTTTTTCATCTTGCTAAATACTTCTCTGGATTTACCTCTTTTGCTACATGTTAAAAGACTATCACAAATACTATACTGTAAACTCACATACCATAATATTTTAACAATAAACAAAAAAGTCTTAAAATTTATATATACAGTACAGTGGTCCCTCGGTTAATGAATGGTTCAATTAACGAAATTTCGGTTAACGAATTACCTCCCATAAGGATCATCAATTCGGTTAACGAACAAAACTTCGATTAACGAAATCCTTACAACAAACACGTTTTGTTGTGAACATCAGCTGATCATCTAATGGGCTAGTCTGCCAATTCAGTAATCAGTTGTATGTTTACATTCGTTTCCAGTGGAGTAAATATCAAGAAAATTGTGCTATTTAACATTTTAAACATTTTTTATATTCAAATTATTTGTCATTCTAAAATTTAACCATCCAAGCTCTGTCTACATAAAGTTTTTCAACTATTATTTTTGGCTCGATATATGTACAGTAACTGTATTCATTTATTGAAACTCATTTACATGCACTCGCTGTCCTAAGGGCAAAGCTGTACTGTACACGTAATCAAAATAATGCACAAAATGATTATTAAAATTTTTGTCTATTGTAAACTATCGCATGTTTACATTCAAATTAATCACTATCTTATAAGAATTCCAGCAATGTAAATTATATTCTTCCCAGTCACTTCTATGACATTTTATAAGCAAAAAACAAAAACTCAATCGAAAGGACATAAATAAATAAAGAAATACTTCACTAGACCTTCGGCGCTAACTGTCAAACAAGTCACTGCCACCTCTCCTTCCTCCCGCCCTCCCAACCAGGGTTTGGTAGTTATACAGTAGGCTTTAAGTTTTTATCTCATAAAACATCACAGACTTAAGTTAAAATAATATAATTTGCATTGCTTGAATCCTTGCAAGGCAGTGCATAATTTGAATATAAACGTCATATATTTTGCTCGAGATAAAAATTTTAGTACATTAGTGTACAATACTGTAGTATATTTTATAATATAAAGTTTTTCAACTGTATTTTTGGGTAGATTTACATAAATTTCATCATTTATTTTCATCCATTTACATGCACACACCATACTAAAAGAAACGTAAAAGAAATACTGTAAATGACTTTAGTGCAAAAGGTGGAGTGCACATGTACTAATTTGATTACGGTACTAAAATTGTTATGTCTAGTGAGAATTATAGGTTGTTTATATTTAAATAAATCAACATCTTACAAGAATCCCAGCAATGTAAATTATATTCACCCAGGTCATTTCACTGGCTTTTTATAGGAGAGAAGCTTAGTCACTTAAGAACTGATAAATATACACTCGTTAAACCTGGGCCTATGCCAACTGTCAAACGTACTACCTCCCCTCCCCCCACACCCCCTCGCTCGCTCCCACCCTCTCTCTCCCCCATCTGCCCAGCGTTGCTGGAATCCTTGTAAAACAGTGAATAATTTTAATATAAACGTCATGTATTTTGCACAAGAGATAAAAATTAATCACCTGTATCACATTACAGTAGTGATTTAAGAGTAAAAGTGTATATGTACATATATAGTATTCCACATACACGTAAGTATAAATACAAAGTTTATGTGATGATAGGACAACGTCCATTTCAGTTAACGTCACGTTTCCAAGAACGTATCTAGGACGTTAACCGGCGCATGACTGTGTGTATATATATATATATATATATATATATATATATATATATATATATATATATATATATATATATATATATATATATATATATATATATATATATATATATATATATATACACACACACAGTAATACCTTGCTTTACGCGGTCAATTGAACCCACGGAGTCCCGCGTAAAGCGGGAAATGTGTAAAGTGAACAACAGAACATATGGGATTAATTGAAATAGAGACTGGGCCGACCCCAAACTCCACTTTTTCCTGACACAATACGTATGTTTTAGTAAAAATAACATCTTAACTTTATGATGGTATGCACACACACATAATTTAGAAGAGAAATATCAATAAGAGAACAATATGCTCTACCAGGTCAAAGAAAAATCAAGGTTTAACGCATGTCATGATAGGTTAGGTTAGAAAAAATCAAGGTTAAACACTTATGTAAGGTTAGGTTATGTTTAAAAAAAGGAAGGTTTAACACTAACCTAAGGTTAGGTTATGTGAGGGAAAATCAAGGTTTAACACTTACGTAAGGTTAGGTTATGTTAGGAAAATCAAGGTTAGGTTTAACACTTACGTTAGTAGAAGAGATGGGTCGGCGTAAGGGAATGGAGGCTGGTTCCGAGGCAGAGGGCTACTGGCCCTCAGGTGAGTCACCATCACTGTCATCCACACTTCTCAGGGCCTCCCTGACAAATCCCTGTGGTGGGTTGCGGGCGAAGAACTCGGTAATGCTTTGTTGACGGCTAGTGTTGATGTCGTGATACACCTTGATGTAGGGCTCCATAGTCTGCAACAGCTGGGTAGTGAAGACTTCATACCGGTGATCGTCAGGGTCCTCGGAAAGGATGAGCTTCAGTTTCTCTACATACTCGATGGCACCCCTTACATTACCATGCGATAACTTGTGTTCTTCTCGGGATGACGCACCGCCTGTCTCTTCACTGACGTGATCGTCCTCTAACATCTCGTCGACAGTCACATCAGGATCCCTTATCACCTCCATAATGTCGTCGTTGGTGGTCTCGGAGAAGCCTGCAGCTGTAACACTGTGCAGCTTCTCTGGCAAGGTCCACTGCTACTGCAACAATCTGAACCTCACCAGTCACAGGTTGACTCTGCCTCCCACCTGGGATACCTTGCAACACATGTCTCCATGCGTGACGAACTGTTGCTACAGACAGCTGATCCCATGCCTCCACCAAGAAGTCCACAGCTTTCTTGACGTTAAATTTCCTCCAAAAGTGTTTCACAAGAACTTCTTGCACTGCCAACTGTTGGTCCTTATCGCTCTTGCTATTGGTGTCACCCAGGTTACGCAACTCATCCTTGGTGTTGGTATAGTCATTCAGGAACTTAAACTTCTTTGCAGAGAATGCAGCTTTCACATTGCAGATTAATTCTTGGTCCATGGGCTGGATTAATGACGTAGTGATGGGAGGAAGGAAGACCACTTTTACGTTGGGGTGACGATCCAACAGTAGGGGCGAGTGTCCAGGTGCATTGTCAAGCAGCAACAAAATCTTGAATGGAACATTCTGTTGCTCACAGAATTTCTTCACGTCGGGAACGAAACAGTCATCAAACCAGGAGAGGGACAGAGTAGAGAACATCCACGCCTTATGTGCGGTCAGCCAGTGGACATTTAGCTTGGTCATGTATATGTTCTTGTAGGCGTGTGGCTTGCGGGCTGTGTGGATCACCAATAACTTGAGTTTACAGGAACCAGAGGCATTGGTGGTAAAGAGGACGGTGATGCGCTCCTTCTGCAACTTCCGGCCCCGACACTTGCTGGCAGACTTGACGAAGGTCTTGGAAGGTAGCTTTATCCAAAACAGACCGGATTCGTCCATGTTGAACACCTGGTCGTCGGTGTACTGTCCTTCCTCCGTAATAAGGAGGAAAATCCCTAGCCGCAACACTCGCTTCTTCACCATCTTGTTCCTCGTTTTAAACCTGTGCAACCACCCAGAGGAAGCATTGAAGGGTTTGGGCTCTGCAATTCCCATCTTACGTGACACTGCTGCGTACAGTTCACGTGCGTACTCCTGAACTGAGCGCGTGTCGACCACCATGTTCCGTCTTGCCTGACGAATTAAGTAGCTCACAAGTAAATTCTCCGTCTTGAGAAGCACCTTGTTGTGGCAATACAGTACTTGATCATTGAAGCACCTGCAGACTTTGTGATGTTCATGTGTTCTTTTATCTTGGCTGCATCCTTCTTTATCGTCTGGATCGTAGATTCGTTCACACCATGCTGGCGCGTCAAATCAACCTGTCTTGTTCCTTTCTCCAACTCTTGGATGATCTTGTACTTCACCTCGTAGCTTAGGGCACGTCGTATCTTCTTTGGCTTAGGGCGGCTGGGTCCAGGTAATGCAAGGTTTTTCTGTGGTGGTGGTGGTCCGGTGGCAGCCATTCTTATGGAACAATTGATATCTATATACACGGTGTAGCCGGGAGGGATGTAACTGACGTGGCTAGGTCAAGGGGCTTCATCCCTCCCGCGGCAGGGCACGTCATATTACATTAAACCAATCACAGTTAGCGGGGAGGGAGGTAGGTAAAGATGCATGGCCCACTCACAGTCCGATACGTTATATGACGTCACCGATAACGCAACAAAGACATACTCTGCGCAACCTACTCGCGCCGCTTACCCAACATGGCGGGAGAGATGGCGGGAGGTTTGAATCCAAAAATGGCGCGGCGCGGGAAGACCGCCAGCCCCTCTCCGCGTATATGAGTAGATGCACTGCGTAAAGCGGGAATTCCGGTTCTGGCGGGGTACCGCGTAAATGTAAAAACGCGTAAACTAGAACCGCGTAAAGCGGGGTATTACTGTATATATATATATATATATATATATATATATATATATATATATATATATATATATATATATATATATATATATATATATATATATATATATATATATATATATATTTATATATATATATATTTTTATATATATATTTATATATATATATATTTATATATATATATTTATATATATATATTTATATATATACACCTAAACCCCGACTTACGACGGGGTTAGGGACCCAAATCCAGGTCGTAAGTCCGATATGGTCGTAAGTCCGATATAGATAAAAAAAAAATTCAAAATTTTTTTTTTTTTCAATTTTTTTTTAAAAATCTACAATGAAATACAGTACACTAAACGTAAAAAATAATGAGGAATGGGTACAGTAAAAGTAATAAATAATGAGGAATGGATACAGTGTGACTGAGCACTT